ATAAAGATAACCTACGAGCCACAGAGATAAGGTTTTTCCCCCAGGGCTGACAGCTGAGCCTTTCTCTAGAGCTGGCATTCTGAATTTGAGTTCCTCGCCTCCTAATCTATGAGAAATCAACTTCTCTGTTTATTAAACTGACCCACTGTAGTATTTCTGTTACAGCAGCACTAGATATCTTAAGATAAGTAGGTAAACGAGGGGGTACCCAAAAAAACCCGGAAACTTTCTTCCTCAAAGCTACGTATTTAAAATTTTTTTTATAAAACAACCTTATCACCTTCAAAGTACTCTCCATTACACTTAAATACATTTGTCAACTCTGCAGTTCCATTCTTGGAAACATTTTTGAAACTCATCTGTTTGGATGGGTGACAGCACCTCCCCTGTTTTTTTCCTCATCACTTCTTTGTCGTCAAATTGTTGTCCTTTCATGTCCCACTTCATTTGCGGAAACAAAAAGAAATAGCGTGGGGTGAGATATCAGGTAAGCAAGGTGCTTGAGGAAAGAGACATGCTGGTGGTTTGTTTTTTTTGTTTTTTGGGATTTTTTTTTTGCCAAAAACTGGTGCGCTGAGATGGCTGCATGAGCAGGTGCACTGTCAAGGTGGCAAAACCAGTTGCCCACTGCCACACTGTTATGCAATCTTTTTAGAACTTCTAAATAGAAAGCTTGATTAACAGTCTGACCTGGTGGAGTGAACTCCTAGTCGACATTTCGTTTGTTTGAGAAGTTGACAGACGTCCAGAACAAGGTTTCTCATCAATCAACATTTCACCTTGTTTGAAATGAAAAGAATTTACTCATACAATTGAGTTTTCCCATTGCGCTTTGTAAGCTGTGTTCAACATCACAACAGTTTCTGCCATATTTTTCCCAAGCACTATACAAAATTTCACAGCCTCATGCTGTTCTCTTAAATCGGCCATCACAAAAAACATAACTGCTTTTGGTTTGAGCGAAACTGCTTTTACAAAAAAATTCACTGTAACCAGAGAGAACCTTTCCAGGTGATGCCGGTGGGTGCTCTAACTCAGAGCGAGTTGCCGAATGCTTGCCTAGTGGGAAAAACACATACTATGAAAGCTCCACTCAGCCCAGCGCAATTCCATTTTTGGAGGAGTACCCCCTCATTTTGGTGGGAGCACCCCCTCATATATGCAAAGATGTTTTTCAAACCAAAAAACCCTCCATTTTATTACAAATATACAAAGAGTACATACAATACTTACTTAATGGTTGAACTTGAGTTTGAAGAGTAACAAAACCAAAACTAATGCTGTGATACTCCGTAGGCTTTCAACTTTTTCTTTGTGTCTGTATGTGTTTCTAAATTGGATATTTCTGATTTCTTCATGTATAAACAGTATTCTCACATTTCTTAAACCTTAGACTTGTTAGGGGGTCTTATGAACTGTTGATAATCTGTATGACGCATATTTGGAAATAAGTGTGGTAACTTTTTATTTTTACTATACTTCATCAACATGTATATATTTATTCTTTTTGTCTTGGTATACTTTATGTGCCTTGTAGATTATGTGTACATTTTTATAGTTGTATTTATTTTTTGTGTAAAATGTGTCTTCATGTTTACTTTTTACAGTTATAACACATGGTGCTATCTTTAATTCAGATTAAATGAATATGTCCAGATACTGTTTTTAATGTTGATCTTGGAAATATAAAAACCAAGAGTATCTCTTGAACTTTGAAATGTCCAAAATAAAATTTTAGGAATGATTTCTGTAATAATAGCTTTTGAATTGTGGATTTTATAGTATCTAGCGACATGGTCAAATCAGTTCTAAAACTAGATTCCTATCCTTGTCATAACATGGTCTTTAGGTTCAGAACACAGAGGTCACTATTTATTTAGTGTACAGCAGATAAGGTTCTGTGTAGTTTGATATACATCCCAAAATTTCTTGGAAATCACAGTGCAGTGTTTCACAGTCTGTTTATAGTCATAAAAGAAGCAAAGATTTGGCTATAGGGAAATTTCTAGCATCTTATCTTAATTTTCTACCATTTTCCTCATTTGCCATTATAGCCTGACTGAATCTCCATTCAAAGTTCATTTGGAAAAGCTCAGTTTGCAACAAAGGAAGCTGGATGAGGACCTGCAATTATACCAGATACCCTTAGAGCTCAAATTAAAACATAGCACTGTCCATGTGGATGAGCTGTGTCCTCTCATTGTCCCCAACCCGGGAGTTGCTGTCATTCATGACTATGCAGATTGGGCTAAGGAAGCATTAGGAGACTTATTAGAAACACAGAGTGAGTATGCACTAAGTTTATAATCATTGATGTCCCAGGATCAGGGGTAATAGTATATGTTCACAGGGCAAATTTTCTGACATGGGTGGAGTAAGTGAAGGAACGTCTGAAGTTTTAACTTTTCTGTAGTTGAAGTGGGGTGAGTAGAATTTCAACAAGAAGAAAGCACCCCTTTGTTTACAGGTATTCTTAAAGCTTTTAATATACAAGTCCTTACCCAAAAATCTGTTACCAAACAAGTCCCTTTTATTTAGAAAATTTCAACCCTTCCCAGCCCAGAAAATAAAAGAAATAAGAGAAGGCTTCAAAAAGTTATTGGACAAATAGAATTAAAAAATAATAAATTTTTCCATTCATTCCCTTTTGCTTTTCTAAATCTGCTTGTTCTAACATGTACAGCTCAGCCCCACTTTGTTTTCCCAACAGTATTGGTATCTATAATTCTTTTTCTGTCTCTGGTATTACTACCTCACTAGAGCTATTGTGGCATAATGGTTACATGTGCTGCTAGGTAATTGGGTTCTGTTCTATAGGGTTACCTCAGTGGTAGTGGGTTTACCCATGTCCTAAACTAATACTTTGATAAAGGTTTATTTTCCTAATTTGATTGTGTGTTAATTATGTTAAACAGTGTGATGTTATATTTAACCACAAATAATTCTGTAAAAGCCAAAACCCCTGTAAGGTGGAAACCTGTCAGCATGATAGTAAAGTAGAAAGTTAGAAGATGCTGTCAAGACCTGGAAAAGCGAGGCAGTCCCATTGAGTTCCGGTTCTCAGGTTTCACTGCATATTTTCAACAAACCTCCTTCATTGAAAAATGGATAGTATTTTAGAGAACCACATACCATGTTTTTGTTCATTTCTGTGAGGTTGTTCTATTGCTTCATCTTTTCAAATAAGTAGTTATCTTCTCAGTGCAGGTGTATCTTGAAGCAATAAACAGTGCCCTTTTTGTGTTAAAGAGGGGTGGACGATATGGCACAATGATAACTGAGCATGGAGTTGGACTTATTGTCTGGGTTGGAATCCTGGCTCTGCTACTTCTTGGTTACAACTTTGGTAAAGTCAGTTAACTATATACCTCAGTTTCCTCGTCTGTAAAATGAAGAAGATAACTACTACCTTATATTGTACAGAGTTGGCTTACCCTAAGTGCTTTGAACAATGTTGGTTACACTCAGTAAATGTTAGATTGTGCCCTATAATTTAAACAAACTCATGTTGACTCTTTTTTAGAGTAGTTGGCATTTCTCAAAAGCTTTGTAGATATAATTTACTCAAATTAGAGGACTTTTGGGAATTTGTTCAAAGAAGCATACAGTTTACTATGAAAGTATCAGAAAGGGATAAAAAGGGACGAGCAGTTATACGCCTAATAGGACAAAGCTACATGTGATGAAAAGACATATTCTGGGTAATCAGTGTGCTTTGTGGCTGTTGGAATATTTATTAATTTATATGTAATTTGTTCGTATATTAACTTATTTTCATATATACATACTTTAAATATATAAATATATATACACACAAGAGTAATGCCCTCACTAGAGTTATTATTCTAAGACATTGGGTGATCATATTTTCCTCCTCTCAGTTGTGAAGCACTGGAGCCTGACCTGGACGTTATGTGAAGCCCTATGGGGTCACCTGAAGGAGCTGGAGAGCCAGCTTGACGAACCTAGTGAATACATTCAGATTCTTGAGCGTCGGAGAGCTTTCTCCCGTTGGCTATCCCACACTGCTACACCTCAGATTGAGGAGGAAGTCTCTCTAACCCGAAAAGACAATCCCGTGGAGGCTGTCTTTAGCTACCTCACCGGCAAGAGGATCAGTGAGGCTTGTTGTCTGGCCCAGCAGTCAGGTACAGCATGTGGTCTTTCTCTGAACTCCTGCCTTATTTCCTACCTACTGTCCCCTGGCCATTAACTGTACATTTGCCTTTTTTCCTCTAACCTGAAAATAAAACATACAGGCTCCCAAGAAAATTGCCTGTTTCTCCAGAATAAGGGCTATGCCTTACTACTTCCATTTTTAGGATCTTAAACTTTATAATTATTTCAGTATTTTGATTTCATATACATAGAAATAGAGAGACACAAATAGAAAATACAAATAAGCAAAGTGGTAGTTTTTAAAATCCCCCAAATCTTACAACTTACTACCATGCACTGCAGGCATTTAAATATGAAGTTTATACTTAAATGGTTTCATTTGTAATATATACTATGTGTGTACTTATTACACAGGAATACATATAAATTCTTCGAAGATGGTATCCTGTTATAATCTGTTTCACGTAAAATCGTATGTGGGAGCCTTAGTGGCTTAGTGGTTATGAGTTGGGCTGCTAAATGTAAAGTGAGCAGTTCAAAACCAACAGCCATTGTGCAGGACAGTGAGTTTTCTCCTCAAATAAAATAGTATATGGTAGTGATTGTTCAACTCTCTAGTATGATTGAACTACTGGACTATATAATGTGTGAATTGTATGTCAATAAAACTTTAAAAGTGATATTATAAATGTCTTATAGATAGAATACTTGCATGCCTCGGTAGTCTATTACATAAATATATATATTAGCAAATTTATGTTTTGACATTTAGGTTTATAATTTTCGTTCAATGTAAGTAATACTCATGAGGATCTTATGTTCTCTTTGTAGTCATTTCATTCAGATATGAAGGCGTTTTATATCTGGGTAGAGCATATTTTCTTTACCCCCCACCCTTTTTTAAAGACTTCACATATGTATGCTGCTTTAGTTTTCCCTTCTACTAATTAAAGGTGATTAGTCACATACAGAGCATTCGCTAAATATTGACAGTCTAGACACAAATCCTGATACAAATATAAAGATGACTTAATGAATTACATATAATTAAATCCTTGATCAAATCATGTTTATTGGAACCTGATTTATAGGAAGCCAACTGCTTAGAGCCATCAATTGGGCTTGTATTTGGGGGGGCTTAGTCATTTTTTTTGAAGTATAAGGAACAAATTATAAGTTAGAATCAGTAATTTTATATAAATGGCGTAGTTTCATACCACTATCACCACACATTGTGCTATCATTGTTCTCATACATTTATACCATCAAAATTAGTACTTGTGATTAACTTTCCTTAAAGGTTACAAGTCATTAAAGAGGTACTGTTATGTTTCATGTTTACCAACAGGAGTACTACCTATAGGAGTGCTAAGGAATGCCAGAAGTCAAGTCCTTAAATTTGCCTCATGCAAAACTTTTTTTCCCCTCGCATTTCATTCTGACCCTAATTTAAACCTTTACATTTGCCCCAAACAGGAAGTAAAAGTATAAATTAATTGGATGTGACATTAAATATTTGAAAAGGAGCTCATCTTAAAATGCACTACCCAAGGTCAGTTGCTCAGGCCCACTGCCATTGAGTCTGTTCATCTGATAGTGACCCTGTAAGACAGAATAAAACTGCCTCTACAGGGTTCCTGAGGTTCTAAATCAGTGGTTCTCAACCCGTGGGTCGCAACCCCTTTGGGGGTCCAAAGGACCCTTTCACAGGGGTCTCCTAAGACCATCGGAAAACACATATTTCTGATGGTCTTAGGAACCCAGACACCGCTCCTCTATCCGTCTCCAGGCGGGTAAGCCCCCATAAGAGTATCAGCGTGATGGCATCATTGTGCTTACCCCATCACATACACCCCGTACAAATACAGGTGTATGTGACAGGATTGTCGCCATAATGTACTTATGCAGACCAGTCACGTGTAGAGAGCAGCTGCTGTGTTGAAAGCAGCTACTCTGTTAAAAGCAGCAGTATTGGAGGTAAAATGACACTTCATGAATTATAATTACTGGGTAAACGTAAAATCACGTACAGTAAAATCATCAACTACTGCAAAAAAAAATCTGTACCATGGGAATGTAATCTGGACACTGATTTGTCTTTTAAATTTCCTTTATATATAATTAGACATAACTATTTCACAATATATAATTACATACTGTTTTTGTGATTAATCACTATGCTTTATGTTCACTTTTTAACAATGAAAATACATCCTGTAGATCAGATATTTACATTATGATTCATAATTGCAAAATTACAGTTATGGAAGTAGCAATGAAAATAATGTTATGCTTGGGGGTCACCACAACATAAGGAACTGTATTAAAGCGTCATGGCATTAGGAAGGTTGAGAACCACTGTTCTAAATCTTTCTAGGGCCAGAAAGCCTGATCTTTCTCCTGTGGAGCAGCTGATGGGTTCAAATTGCTGGCCTTGTGGGTAGCAGCAGCCCACCACATAACTCACTATGCCACCAGGGCTCCTTTAGCAATTGTGTATGGTCATAGATAGTCAGCAAAAAAGGGTATGACTCAATGAGCTGGATTGATACTGTGGCTACAACAGTGGGCACAGCTATGACTATTCTGTTGTACATAGGTCATTATGAGTTGAAACTGACTGAACAAACCTCATAGCATCACAGAAGAAGTATAGATCGTTTGCTGAACTATCCAAGGTGGGCTTCGAAAAAGTTTGTGGAAAACATCGTTTTCTTCCATTTTTTTCATGAACTTTTAAAAGTCCTTCATATATACTACCTACTAAGGAGCCCTGGTGGTTTAGTGGTTACACATTAGGGTACAATCCACAGAGTTGGCAGTTTGAAACCACCAGCAGCTCTGTGGGAGAAAGACTGGGCTTTCTACCCCCATAAACAGTTGTAATCTCAGAAACCCACAGAGTCACTGTAAGTCAACATTGACTCGATGGCCATGAGTTTTGACTATATAGAGTCTACCTGTGTAATTTGAGGTAAACTAATTTCATATTTTCTAACCTAGCAGAGAATAGTAAATTCTTGGTCAAAAATTTGACACTGCCTGCAGGGTTCAGTCAAATGAATTAAGGCCTCGTTCCTGATAGTTACGCCATGTGAGTTTTGATGGCACACTGGTTGCACATTGGGTTGCAGCAGATTGAAACCGCTTGCTACTCTACTAGAGAAAGACGAGCTTTTCTCCTCCCATAAAGAGTTAGCGGTCTCAGAAACCCACAGAGGTCATTCTACTGTCCTATGGTGTTGCTACTACTCAGCATTGACTTAATGACAGTGAGATGAGAATGAAATCCTCAGAGTAGGAAGATGATCGTGCTCCCAAGTGTCCCCCCAAGGCTCTAAATCCTCAGTGGTCACTAAAGAGATTTTGTTTCTCTTCCAGGTGATCATCGTCTTGCCCTTCTTTTATCCCAGCTCGTAGGCAGTCAGTCAGTCAGGGAGCTGCTCACCATGCAGCTGGCAGATTGGCATCAGCTCCAAGCTGACTGCTTCATCCAGGACGAGAGACTGCGCATCTTCGCCTTGTTGGCTGGGAAACCGGTATCTTTAAAATTTTTCTTTAAAATTTAAGATCGCTTACAGTTGGAGCAGAGAATGTACTTAGTAAATCAAACACTATTATTCCTAACTAAGCAATTTATTTTTAAAATTTTAATATAGAGATTTTCAAATGATAAAGGTAGGCTATGTACACTGTAAAAATAAAATACTAGTACTCTAAAAATAAAATGCTAATTGCATAAAAATTAAAAAGTTGAAATTCACCAGATCCCATATCATACAGATTAACAATGTAAATCATTATCTGTCTTTGTAGATACATAGTCCAAGTCAATATCAACACTTGTGTCTATTTACATGTGTATATATAGAAAAGTAAAAGCGATTTTCTATATAGCGATTCTGCAAGTTTATTTGTTTTTTTTAAAAAGTCGATTATCAAGAATAAAGTAGCTGCTCAGCATTTATGCAGATGAAGTGCCCTGGTGAGCGGCACAGTTACCCACTCTGAGCTGTGTGAAGAACTTCTTATGCTCTCAGTGTCTCGTGTCTCTTTTCTCAAAGCCTGGTGGTTTATTGGTTAAAATCTGTCTTCCTGCCACAAAGGAAATACATATTTTGTATCCAGAGATCATTAACACTGGCTTCTAGATTGTTTCGACTACTACTTGAATTAATAATTTGAAGACACTGGCAGTAAGAAGGTAAATCAGAACTGTGATAATTTCATCTCTTGCAGGTGTGGCAGCTCTCAGAGCAAAAGCAAATTAACGTGTGCTCCCAGCTGGATTGGAAACGCTCCCTGGCTATCCATCTTTGGTATCTGCTTCCACCCACAGCTTCCATTTCCAGAGCCCTCAGCATGTATGAAGAAGCATTTCAGGTATGTGTCCAGTAAAGTCACATCAAAGCCCTGGTGGAAATTCTCTTTACCAGTAAAATTCTACAGGAGAGGAAACAGAAACAAAACATTAAATCACATTTCTCATAATACTTTTTACTTAACTACCTTTATTGAGAATACCACACAGTTGAAGTAGACCCAGGAAATCTGATGGCGGAAAGCCTGTGTTACTCTGACTTGGATGTGTGTGTTACTACCAGGTATATATTGTTTTGGGTTTTTTAAATCATTTTGTTGGGGACTCGTACAACTCTTATCAAACATACATACATACATACATACATTGTGTCAAGCACATTTGTTGCCACCATCATTCTTAAAACATTTTCTACTTGAGCCCTTGGTATCAGCTCCTCGTTTTTTCCCCTCCCTCACGAACCCTTGATAATTTATAAATTATTATTATTTTTTCATGTCTTACACGTTGGTGTCTCCCTTCACTCACTTTTCTGTTGTCTGTCCCCTAGGGACGGGCTTATATGTAGATCACTCCTCACCACGTGAATATTGCTAATGCACAAGATGGTCAGATAAAAGTTTTTATACTGTTTTTGTACATGTGAACTGTCAGATAATAAGATAGTCGATAGTGAGAAGTGATGTGGAAAGTGATGTTGTTTCATCAAACTCTCCTATTCAGAGCACCTCTGAGGGTGACCGATATGCCTGCTCCCCACTTCCTTCCTACCTTGAGGGCTCTGGCTGTATAGTAGAAGAGGAACAAGATTCACAGAGACCACTTCGAGATGTTTGCTTTCACCTTCTAAAACTCTACAGTGACAGGTAAACCAAAGCCAAGAATAATAGTCATTTGAGAGACTCCATAAACCTCAGCCTTCCTCATGCCGTGACCATCTAATACAGTTTTCATGTTGCGATGGCCCCCAACCTTAACATTATTTTTGTTGCTACTTCATAGCTGTTATTTGTTACTGTTATGAATCGGGCGACCCCTATCAAAGGGTTGTCGACCACCAAAGGGGTCGTGACCCACAGGCTGAGAACCCACTGCCTTTGAGAGTCTTCCTGGTTTCCCTTTTCATGTGCCACCAAATTGTTCTGAGTGTGCAGCACAAAGAGCATCAGAATTACAATTAGGTCGACATCTTAAGCCATATATGATTAGTAGCTATCGTATTGGTCAAGGGAGATTATTTCATATCATTTCATCATTCCAACATTTCCATCATTACACAGATTATGTTAGGCAGTAGTGGTTTAGTTAAAGGTGCCTTCTTGGTATTGTTAGACATTGAACTGCTAACTGCAAGGTCTACAGTTCAAACCACTTGGTAGGAAGATGATGTTGCTGTTTGCTCCCATTAAGATTTTACAGTCTCAGAAACTCCACATAAGGTTACTTTCAGTTTGAATCCACTAAGTAGTGTTAGGTTTGCTTTTTGTTGGGTTGGTCTAGAATCTAGACTCTGGATAAAATCTGTTTATTACTCAGACATTAGGAAAGTTGTTAAAAGTGCCATCACTGTCTTCTGAATCATAACCCCAGATGTTTGACCTATTGGATGCAGGCGGTCTGCTGGCTATATGAGGCATATACTTAGTAACTCTTTCACCACGTTCTCTTCTGTAGACACTATGACCTCAACCAGCTGCTAGAACCTAGAAGTATAACAGCAGACCCCTTGGACTACCGCCTAAGCTGGCACTTGTGGGAGGTGCTTCGGGCTCTTAACTACACTCATCTCTCAGAGCAGTGTGAGGGTGTTCTACAAACGAGCTATGCTGGCCAACTGGAGAGTGAGGGCCTCTGGGAGTGGGCCATTTTTGTCCTGCTGCACATTGCCAACTCAAGGTGAGTGAGAGAAAGTGGTTGAATCTAACAGGTGTAGTACAGAGCAATGCTAAAAGATTCATAGCATGCATTCTTGAATCTCCCCTTGTGATAAACTCAAGGCAATTCAAACCTCAACCTAAGCTGTTCATTCTTGTGAAGCAGAAATGACACTGATTAAGTGCTAAATTGTACTCTCTAAGTCTCTCAGTAGTCTGACAAAGGAGAAAAAATAATCTGTGATGCAGTGATTAGAGAAAAGTCTCTGTACAGACAAGATTCAAAGAGGCTTTATAAAATTCCAGTAGGAAATGTGAAGTGGAAAAGAGGGGAGTATGCCCAGTAATGACCTTAGGCGCAGATTCACTTGAATGTGGTCTAAAGAACTGTGGTGGGAGTGCCAGTTGAACTGTCTCACTGGATTCCTGGCAGTGATGTTATGGAGAGCCTCTGATTTCTCTATCTCTATCTCTCTCCCTTCCCTCTGCCCCATCCAATACCCCTCCTCAAATTTAATACTCTTCTTTTTGCCCATACAACTCTGTGATTAGATGCTAGATATTTTGCTTCTCCAGAGAACTGGAGAAATGCTTTTTTCTCCATAGCTTGAATAAGATTCAGTTGGATGATTATTTTGAATTTTAAAAATCACTGCTAGGAATTACAATAATAACTAAAATGTGTATTTATGTAGTATTTTGTTTATAAGTGCTTTTACATACACATGATATTCTATTTTAAGTATATAAATTAACTCATTTAATACTCATAATAAAGCTGAGATAGACGCCCCTACTGTCTCCATTTTACAAATGAACAATCCAAGGTTGAGAGGGATTAAATACCTTTTGCTCATAATCCCCCAACTAGTAAATGATGTGACGTTTCTAACTCAGACATCCAGAATCTGTTCTTAATCACAATGCTATTCATACTAGCTTTGATATGGAAGGAAGTTGGGTTTGGGAGGTAGACCTGCCTAAATTTTGGGTCTTCCATGTACCATTTTTGACGTGTAGGGTAAAGCATATACAACTGTATACTGATTTACTTTAGACTGGTTAAGCTTTTTTAATCTGTGGATGTTAATTCCTAATTAAAAGGTGATTGTAAAATGAAAGTACTAAAAGTGGAAAACATTTCGTACTACCTTCCCTTAAGCAGTATGTCTTTCTGCTTTCCCTTTACCAGAAAGTACAATAGCCCCAGTCTCCTATCAATCAGTGTACTTAAACACACACAGGGATGATGTCACATGGTGAGGTGAGATGGCTGTGGGATATAAAAAGCAGTTGTGATGAAATTGGGAGTTCTTAAAAAGTTCAGAAAAAGTTTGAGGTGAGGAAGAATAGTTTTGATTAAAAACTAAAAGGACTGACTGGTCCTTTAGTTCAGACAGAAAAAGAACTCTCTTTAAGGAAGTCTTAAAGATCGAAGCTAAAGAGAGAATGGATTAGGAAAATTGATAGCTTTTAAAAGGAAATGTGGACCTGGGAGAGACTTGCTGTAAAAACTATTTTTGTTATGCTGGCTATGTGGAAGAAGGGACCGGGGAAGGTTGGACGTGAACTGCGGAAGACTAGTCTGGAGCAGACTCCCTCTGCTTCAGTCCTTTGTCTTCCAGGTGGTAGCGAGGAAATGTTACAGGACAGGAAGTAAAAGAAGTGGTTCCAGTCGGCAAGAGTCTTTTCTGGCAAGTGAATAGCCTCCCTTAATGTATTTGCTTTCAGACTTGTTGACCAGAAACACATTTTTAAAATAAATGCTGTTCTGATGGCTTTTGATTACTTTCACGTGATCCACTCAGTGACCTGTGGTTTGAAAGACAGTCACAGGGCCACTCGGAACTGGCTGGACAGCCTTTTAAATAATGAAGGGATTTATTCTAACTTATCCCTGTTCTTCTAGTGTTCGAGAGAAGACTGTCCGAGAACTGCTTACCCGGCACTGCCAGCTCTCAGAGACTCCTGAATCTTGGGCTAAGGAAACGTTCCTAACCCAGAAGCTTTGTGTGCCTGCTGAGTGGATTCATGAAGCCAAAGCAGTTCGAGCACGCATGGAATCCGACAAGCACTCGGAGGCCCTCTATTTATTTAAAGCCGGGCACTGGAACTGCTGCCACAAACTTATCATCCGACACTTAGCTTCTGGTGAGTTTTTCAGGTTGGGGTCTTAATGGACCTGAATGCTTTCAACACCTGAACCTCCATCACAGGCTACAAATGCTGAGCAGTATAGGCATAGCAGACATGACTTATGGAACGTTTGTAGAAAGCTTTCTGTACCAAAAAAAGTTTAACCAGTGTGAGGGGCTAGAAGGGCAGATCTGGACAATGTTTTATAGTTATAATTTGCTAAGAATATCCCTGATGTATGCTAATTATATTAAGTTCTTAGTTTCATTCACCAATATCAGAAGTAACTGCTTGTGGACTTGAAACTAGTTCTTTGCTTTTTTCCTTGGAGAATTTTAGAGTATCTATTTATAATTTACAAGTCTTGCCCCCAGCATTTCTTTCCTTTCAGTGTTAGATTTCTGCTCTATCTTCCCTGTACTTTTTGCAACTATGTACTTGTGCACACCATGGTTAACATTGTTTTTCTTCAGATGCCATCATTAATGAAAACTATGACTACCTGAAGGGGTTCTTGGAGGACCTGGCCCCTCCAGAGCGCAGCAGCTTAATTCAGGACTGGGACACATCTGGACTTGTCTACCTGGACTACATTCGGGTCATTGAAATGCTCCACCATATCCAGCAGGTACCTAGGTTCTTTAAACAACTGATTTTCCTTTCCAGATGCTTCATAAGACCTTAACGAACTCTCACAAAACTCATTGGATGGGACACCTACTCTGCAGGAGTATTTTGGTGATGCTAATTTGATGTAGTTGTAATAAAACACAATAAACACTTTTTTATATTTATTAGGTTGTTTGCCCAGTAGACACCCCAGACTGAGGCTTCTTCATGTTCGGTCTCCTCTCCTTGTCCCGGCCCTAGTGTGAATTAGAAGCTCGGAGAGGAGAGATACAGTTAAGGTCAGAGATCTTGTGAGGATAATTGTTTCACACATAGATGTTTCAAAACTTAAGTATCAAGGTAGTTTTAATCATCATTAAAATATCCTCCATCAGTCTCAATTGTCAGAAGATGGGCCTCCAAGACACAGAGACCAAACAAAGATTAAACATGGGGTGCAAGCCTTTTGGAAGTACCTGCTACACCTTCCTTAATTTCTACCCAATCAGTTGACTGCTAAAGTACCTCACAGACCATATTTCAATTACTGTACTCACAACCCTCCTCAGACATGGGAGGTTTTCTAAAATTTAAGGTGAAAGGCAACAATGTATAGTAATTAAGAACTCAGTTTGAAGTCAGACTGTTAAAATTCCTAGTTTCCCTCAAGTACTACCCTGTTTCCCCGAAAATAAGACAGTGTCTTATATTAATTTTTGTTCCCAAAGATGTGCTAGGTCTTATTTTCAGGGGATATCTTATTTTTCCATGAAGAAGTATACGGTACACATTTATTGTTGAACCCAAAAAAAGGAAATTTATTACCTGTACACGGTACAGTAGTAGTAATCACAAACCAGCATAACCAGACAAACTGAATCCTACAGTATCAAGAATTTGTTACTATCATTATTTCCATGTACAACAATCTATGGTACATTTACTTATTTAATGACATTCATGTCATCATCTTCTGGAACATCATCATAGCAATCCAAACCCTGAGTTTCCTGGTGAATTTCTTGTGACTCCATTTCTTTCAGAATCAATGGACCAAATCTCTTATGTTTAGCAATAGCACTGTCCTTAAATGAGTACTTCTTGTCAAGGAAGCCTGCTCGTAGTGCATTTGCACTGCAACTGTCAGTGATTTTCTCCCTTGAATTCTTCTCCCCAGTCACAACCTCTTGCAGTTTAGGTTTCACAAGGTTTCCATGCTGATTTCTCTTCATTCTATTTTCAATGTAGTCATTAATTTCCATGCCCAAATTGTCCTTGAATGGCTTGTTTATTGCAATATCAAGAGTCTGGAGATA